ATCTGTTTAGGTCCCTTCCGACCCTAAGCACTATGAAACTGTTGGGTATAGGGAGAAAACATTCTTAATAGCAGTATGTTTTGAAACCAGTGGCTAGTGGTCTACCCTACCCTTTGGAAGTAGACAATACATTTCTGGTTTCTGTCTCCAAACAGGATGTGGATCATAGCATCATATGAATAATGCAAGTTTAGGAAAATGACTTCTGTAGCTAGTTTAACATCATCAAACCAGAGGTTATTCATAGTATAAATAATGGTCCTCTTACCAGTTAAACGATTCAGTGTGACCCAGTAGTGTTCGTCTGGACTGTATGTGTCCCTTGACCATTCAAGCAAATCTTTTGCTCGTACATCAGTCAGTGTAAACTCTACAAACTCTCGAGTAAGTACGTAGTAAGCACTCCCAAAATATATGGTTAAATTATGAGGGGGATTATTTTTCACATTCTTAGTTGGATACACATAGGATTTTCCAGAATGGACGTATTCTTTGTAACTAACACGCGTCCTGTATTTTATATGCGGTGGTTGGACCACCCCAGGAGTTATATTTTTACCATTCCATTTGCTTTTAATATATTGTATAATTTCTTTGTTTGTTTTGATAGGATAATCCTGGCCACATAGATTAATAACATAATTCCACTGACTGTTGAATTTAATCAGGTCCTTCATACAATTGATGTCTGCTTGTAGCCTTGAAAATCCTGCATAAACAACACTTTCTCTTTTTGATGATATAAATATGTTTTCAAAGCAGTTGACTATGGTTTGCACAGCAGCTTTGTAATCCTTGGGTGTTTTCTCATCAATGTGAATGCAGTAAACATTCTGAGGCACATAAATGGCTCGTAGTAGTTTTACAAACATTTCTAACTCCTTGTGAATTGTGATGATGTATGCCAAAGAGAAGTTTTTTTCTTCTTCAGACAGTGGTTTTGTTATGAAATGCAAATTCTTCAGGACAGCAGAGCAGTTGCATGGAGTCTGTATACAATAGAGCATTTTGGGTTGATGAATACTCTGACACAAATTCCCAATCTGAGGTGCTGCGCTTTTGCCCTCAAACAGAGCTGAACAAAGTTCATCTGGATAAACGCCACATTCTTCCACATCTGGCTTTTCACTTGATTCTTTAGGAAGTGTGTTCTTTACATAGATGAAAGTGAGGATAAAAATAGACACGCCAAGGCATACTAAAAATCCTGATTTTGCTGCATCAAGCTGGTTCATTTTTGTTCTGCAGCCACTTTCTTTTGATCATAGTTTACTGTTCACTTATCTGAAAGGGAGAAGAGAAAGCAGGGTTGTTTTTTTTTTTTTTAATTGATTTAATCTGATTAAATGAAAATGATGCATGTGCAGATGCCGAGATCCTTTTTGTAGTGCTAAATAGTAGTACTACAAATTCTCCCCAAAACAGGGAAGAGAGGCAATAAAGTTTGCATAAGAAGAGTGGTACCGGTAATTCCTCGGTCCCTGTATACTCACAGTTACCAATGACAAAGAATTGAGAAGAGCTGCTATTTCTAGGGTTACCAGGTTTCCAGTTCCAAAAAAGAGGATACCTGTTGCACAGAGGAGGGGGAGGACCCAAAAAGAAGACAGGTCCTGGTTTTCCTGGACAGATGGTAACCCTAGCTATTTCAGACTCTTGCTTTCCAGTTATTAGTTATGTTATTTCTATATTTTAATTTATTATTTGGTTTTGGTCAAGAGACAAATAGCTGTTCACAACTATTTAACGTCTGGGCATCTCTTCAATTCCTGTGTTGCTCCTTTAATTGGAGCAGGCAGTACATGCTGGTAATGTTTTGGCAACAGTAAAGCTGCACAGCTCTCTGACCAGCTATTTAGCAACAGCAAAGTTGATAAAATAAATAGCAGTAGAAGACCAAAGTCTGATCCACAAAGGTATATAGTTTTTTCCTTAACATTAAGTGACCCAGAGTTCTGGTTTGTTTGTTTGCTCCGTGATCTATATAGATCAGTTTTCTAATACCGAATCTTGACAGCCAAATAACTGCATTTTCTTGTTTTGAGAATCTTTGAATCCTTCCTGTAATGCAGTAAATTACTGGCATTATAGTAGTACATTTTAATGCTCGTAGAGCAAGCAGATAGCTAATTCATTTTGGCTCTCCTGTCTGCTACAGCTGCTAGTTGAAGCCTTTGTTTTTGAAGTATTTGGTGAAGTAGTACATATACCTTCCTGAAGAATTAAAAAAAAAAAAAAAATCAGTCAAATTGACAATGTAATGATTAGGACTCCTAAATGTTTTGCTTTATGATTGTAGGAGTGTTTGAGGGGTTGGTTTCTTTGCTTTTCCCTGCTTTATGTTATGCTTTTATTCAAGCTAAATGCTTGTAGAAAAAAAGTGTTGATATTTCACTTGCAACTTTATCATATTTTGTCTGTTAACCTCGCTTAATATGGGTATATCTTAGTGTCTCGTAAGCCAAATTGGTACATTTGATAGTTGGATTCGTTGCTAAAGTGTTACAATTCTTTGCTTTCGTTTTAAAGATTAATTTAGTTTTGTTCAATAAAAGACACTCCTTCTACCCCTCCTCCCCCAGCTTCTAAAACAAAGGACGATAATGGAACTTAAGTAAAATAGGAACACAAGACTTTAAGTACTGAAATCTGAGAATTTGTGACGAGGCTAGACCTTTTATAATGATTAAAACTTTAAATTTTAGGAGAGAAGACTTTCAATAAAGAATGTATTTAGCTTAGTCCTTACTGGTTTGCGCAGGATTTCGTACTGGAAGAATGCCTTTTTCCTCTTCTGCTTATTAATCCATTCTTTGGAAGATTTTGCTTCAATTTTGTATCCGTTTCCCTGTTGTGCTCGATCTGTACATATTCTTCAGCATACATCAAATGCACAGGCCAAAGAAAAAACATTAGGACATCTGGTCCCAGAAGAATATATATATTTGTTTAGTGGCTCATAAGGGATATGCTTACTGCATAAACACACTTGTGCAAGCTTGGTTCTAAGTGAGCCCTTCGTTTTGTTTAAGCTGAAAAATTCAGCACTCCCATCAGCATCAAATTTTTGATGTTGTGGAGAAAGCAGTTAGAGAAGAATGCCTTTTGCAAGGCAGATGCAAGGTTTTTCAGAGGAATAATCAAATACGCCAGCACTGCTGCCGATGGACTAACAGAGCCAAGAAAAGATTAGCACAATGGACATTATGTACCCGGTAGTGGAGGTTAGTGGGAGGGAGAGTTTGTTACAGTAGTGTAGCACTGACTTTGTCTTAGAGCCAGAAAACCTGCTTTATAATGAATGAATAATTAAAGGGAGAATAGGGAGGGAAGTCACTGTAATTTAGTGAATAGGATGAGGATCTCTAGAGCACGTTTTGAGGTTCATCACGCTGAGCCTAAGTATTATATTGAAGGACAAGAAATATGCAGTTATTGGGTTTTCTGAAATATTTAATTAGCATGTAAATTATTGGTGAACTGTTACATTGTATTAGCGTCAGTCCTGCCATAGGAAGTACAGTATCTCATTAAGGATAGATTTAAAAAATGGGAGTTACCAGGGAATCAGCTTATAATGTATTACTTATATGTGATAGGTGAGAAAAAAAGATTCCTTCCCCAAAGTCAAAATATTTCTAGGGATTTTTTGAGCCTCTTAAGAGAACATGTAATAACTGGGGGTGGGGGAACCAGTTGTTAACCCTTTCCCTTCCCACCCCATAAATCCTAAAAAATTGGCTTCCACTTGTTTCATAATGTTAATTATCTGGTTTAATTATTTGTACATTTTTGGGAAGTGCTCAGTTGAGGCTTATATAGCCTGGCTTACCCTATATAAGCTGGCGGATGTACAAATATATGTGCTAACTAGTATACAAAGCAAAAACATTCCCTAATCAACCATTTCAAATCTCACAAAGACAGGATGCTATGACTGTGCCGAACTAGATTGGGGCAGGAGATAAGAGATGTGCTGACGGTGTGTTAAATAGATTTTAATTGATAGCATTCACTTGAAGGAAGTGACAGCATTTTTTACATGTTAGGGCTGAAGCTAATAGTTTTCATCTTAATGTGACTTTTTTTTCTTGTACCAGTTAATTACCTTTTTATAAAGAGGTCTTAAATTCTCTTTAATTGGCACATGTAATTGGCAAGTTGGGCATGACAGATTAGAAATCCCCTCCTTTCTTCTTCATGCTTAAGTGGTCAGGGTTTGGGCATGGACCTACAAAAACGTGATGCAGTGCCATACCTCCTATCCTGAGAGCTGAGACTATTGGGTGAAAACAGACCCCTCACAGATGATATTCTTACCATACAGCTGAAATACCAGCCATAGTTTGTTCTGCGTTCCTTGCGTAGAGTGTAGGCCTTTGGATCAGTGTTGGCATATCATCAGCTGGCATATATCACGGCCAGTTCTTTGAAATGTAAAACATTTAAGTCTCTCTTTCTCCCTCCACTTGAAACTAAGCTGAACTCTTAAAGGATCAAGCCAATTTTCAGGGACCAAAGTATAGATTTAAATCCTGAGTTTCAGGCACTCAGTCGTGACAGTGTTGATGAATGAACGTTATATTTCCAGGATATGCACGTAGAGATTTCCTTAATAATGAGAGAGGATGGAAAATTACCGGATTAGACAAACACTTCAATTTTAGTTTGAGAAGGTGAGCTGAAAAGGCAGGTGGGCCCATAGTAGACTATTTGTAGACACGTGCCAACATACTAGTAATTTCAGTCCATCAAGATCCTGTTGCATAAAATACATGCATGCAGTATATTTAATTTTTTTTTAAGCAAACTGAATAGTTTTTGTGATGAATTTTTACTTTTTTGGGTTGATCTTGGCCCTCCAAATTCTGGGCTGTGTCACTGCACACCTAAATTAGCTACTTCATGCGTTATTTGGGGGGTTTTAATCCTTTTAAAGTTTAATTAAACATTTGGCTGTACCTCTGTAATTTCTTGAGTTGAATTGCTTTAGAAAACTGAATGTCTCTAATTTTAGCATCATGAAAGGGTTAAGGAACACTGACACTTGTATTCCAGGACTCTTTTATATCTTATCTGCCTGATGAGCTGTTTTATAAATCGAGTAATGATGTTATATAGGGGATAAGTCACTTTTGAAGTAAAAAGTAAAAGTTTAAGTTCTTCAAAATAAAGTAATAGAAGGAAATACCATTTCATTTATATTCTTCTTATAATTATTCCTAAATTATCTTGAAACTGCTTCTGTTACAACTTTATCTTGTAGCCAATTAAGTAAGTAAATGAAAATTTTGCCAAATTGGGCCTTTAAATTTAGTATTTCCATAAAGTTCTTTTGATTTCAAAAGATGAATAGTGGATTAATATTGACTAGAAACACCAAATGGGTTTATGGGGGGTAATATTTCAGCTGCTTTCTCTAGTTATTTTCTTCCTTGCACAAAATGCTTGTACTTGTAGCAGTTTAGTGAAGATGTTATGGCAGTAGTGTTTTGGCAATAGCTATAAAGCCCTGGGTTAGAGTTAAAAGAAATTAAGTGATTCACAACAAATTGTAGCTTGCATTTACACAGACCACATTTGCTTTTTATATTATAAGAAAAAAAAGCATTTAGCGTTTTAACAATCTTTCTTCACACAGGCATCTAATTCAAAGTTGTTTTTAGTCTAAACATTATCTAAAAATAAAAGCCTCTTATTTTCAATAGTGAAATGCCTTGGTCACAATCAAAGCATTTGTCTTAGAGCTTTTAAAGATGTTTTTAAAAGCATTTTCTGTAAAAATAAATTCTTAAAATTCAACTTATTTAAACTCACCTTGCAGAAGAGGAGCCAGATGTTAGCAGCAGAATTTTATGAATGTATGAAGTCCCATTGCCCTTCAGGTGAAAATCAGATTAAGTTCTTCATTCTGTTGCTTATGTGGAGACCTCACATTGGATTAAATAGGTTAAATATTAACAGAATTTTTTTGTTAGGATTTAGTCTAGCATTTCTTAGTGCTTAATAGTTTATTCTGCAGTGGCCCCCAAGCACTCAGAAAAGGCAGTCTCTTTTACGTAATGACAAGAGAAAGCTTGAGCTTCTCCGAATTTTTGTTCACTGTTCTGACACAGCCTTTAAAGGCAGTGAAACTAGGCTTTGAAATCTGTAGCGACTGCATTGTGCTGCTTAAAGATAGTATTGCTATGACTGTAACCTTTAGTTGCTAACAGAGCAGAGTGAATGATGTGGAGGGAGAAAAAAACAAAACCCTTGCTTAACTCCTTGGCTGCTGAAACTTTCCAGAGTATGCAACCAAGTAAGAATAATGTAGGGGGGTTTTTGGCTACCTTTTAGCTGCTTGAAGTTAAATAAATAAATGAAATAGGTGGCACATCTTCCTCCCAGTCTGTGTATTTAGTTAAACAGTTTTTAAATAAGCAAAAAGATTATCCTTTTTTTAATGTCTAAAAGCAAACAGATTAACCTAGTAGGCTTGAGCAGCTTTGGTGTATGAAAAGTACCCTGAATGAGTCACAATTGATGTATTTATGCGTCTGTGGCCTAAAATAGTATGTGGTAGTTTCATAGCTGCCTTTTTTGTCATTAGGATTGAATTAAAGCCTGTTGGTCAGAAATAATAAGTACAGAGGAGGCCTGGAAATATATTAAGTAGAGGTGCACTGATGCATCGGTCCATATCATATCGGCACCAATAAAAGGAAAATTGATGTTCTTGGCAATGAGATTTAAATTATATTAGTTTAACAGCAGCACAGACAGTTTTACCTGAAGAAATAGTGTGAGGCCCTTCTGGTGTCAATGCAACTTGAATCTAAAAGCATTAATTCTCCTTATTCTAAAAATCTCCTCTTCCTACTTCCTTTAAGTTCAGGCTTCGTAACAAAATCAGAATTTGTGCTTAAACTACTTTTACTGTTAGCTTTCTGTGACACTGTCTGCTCTTTCTTTATTTTCATTTTTTTTGTCCTGTGTTTATACAGCAACTTAGCTTGATGTGTTTATGTCCATGATTGGGGCTCTATGGTACTACAGTATTACTACAGTAATACAAACTGACATTTACTATTTTATACCTTTGATGTCGATTAAGAGATTTAGCTTTATGTACCTACATTTTGGTGTGCTTTAATCAGTACTTTTTAAAGCTAACTTGAAAATCCAACCCCAAAGCCATAAAAACCAAATTCAAATTCATTACTTCACCCCTTCAAAGTATGAATGTTTATTTAAAATCATAAAGAGGACCAGAATTCTCTTCCAGGCAATCCACAGCAGACCTAGTATCGGTGCTCCCTTGCCAGCCCCTCTCTAAATAAAAGTAGTTAGAACTGACTACTGCCTTAGACTAGAGACCAAATACTGTTCCTGTGCCAGCCAATTACAAGCTAATGTATTATTTGAACTTCTAGAAAGATGAATGATTACCATCTAAAAAGAAATGTAAGGAACACCAAGTACAAATGATATTTCAAAGGTCATTTCATTAGGAACAACATAAGCCAGGAGCAGAGAAATTAATTTTCCAGATAGTGGGCGGGCAGAGAGCAAGGGTTGGGGTGAAAGGGTGATGGTAATTAGGAAAGAGAAGAATTGCACTTTAAGCTATTAATTAGCAAATTTATACTTTCAGTCAAGAGTAATAGCATAGAAGACACCAACCCAATTTAGTTATGGGGCAGATGCTGGAACCACTTCTGTATACAGAACTTTTTTTTTTTAAGTCAATAGGAAATTCATGCTTGGAGTGCCTGCAGCAGTTCCTTAATATTAGGGGTGCACTGAAAGATTTTTTGGGCTGATACCGATTGTCCATATCAGCCGATACTAATCCAATCGCTGATATGCATTGGAGAGCAGTGTCTGGCTGATAAGTTTGTTGGGGGTGGGGGGGTAGATCGCCCCTATAGCAAGGAAGGGGGTGGGGCTGGGGCATAGTTTCATAGTTTGTAGGGTTGGAAGGGACCCGAGCA